TATAAGAGTCCACTCATACACGAATCACATTTCCGTACACGGCAATGTGAATAGTTAAGAAGCGCAGTGCAGTACGAGTAAGGCACGAGTGGAGCACCCGCACAGTGCAGTGAGGCAAGGAACCAAAGGATCATCACGTCATACCTCCCGAGAACAAAGACGACATCTATGATACTGTACGAGTACAACAACACCCCGGCAAGTTCTTCGATTCCAACTCGGCGGTTTGTACGCTGGATATGGTAACTGATGCCGCCATCATGTCACCTTTACGACAAGCAAACAAACAAACAAACAAACGGTCTGAATGAGGGGGAGCAAGAACGGGAGAAGGCTTTTGGTGCTGGGCTGGGGTTGGTTGGTCGTTCGATGTCCTACTGTACAGTACATACCTACCTTGTGGTGAGATGTGGTTTATCGATCAGGCCGGGGCTCGTTTTTCTGGTGGATTCCTTCCATGCATTAGTACAATACTGATAGAGTACACTTGCACCACGAACCACGTGATTGTGTGGGGGGGGGTTTTTGTTGTTGTGGTTGATTTCCGGAGAGGTGTGGTCAAACGTTTACTTCACTTGATGTCTTGTGTATTATATACACTACAGCGGATGCGGGATGTCTATGGTTAGGATGTGTGATGGCAACTCACCATCCTACCTTCCAGTACCGTAGCTAACTTTGTGATAGGCGGGCAGCCTCCGTAATAGGGCCTTCAGAGGTTGTGATTGACTTGGTGGAAGGGGCGTTGATTTGGACCTCTACGGTAGTCTATCGATCGATTCAGAGCTTGGATAATGTGGAAATGCACGAGTGGGTCCAGAATTGGTTGTAAATAGTTACTGTAGTAGAGAATAGTGAGAGTGAGTGTAGTGCATGCACACAGCTGTTCCGGGGTGCCATAAAGTGGCCGAGAGAGCATCACAATTTACTCCATGGCCATTACCATATCCAAACCTTGGAGAAGGATAGAGAGAGAGTCACCACAGACAAACAGTTCTTTCCCGGAAATATGAATAGCTTCAGATGGTATCATTTCATACATCCACAACACTCGTACGGTTTCCAAAAGACTGATAAAGAGCCATATTCTGCAGACCACCATTTTTCTCCCCCCAACCCCCCGCCCCCTTACTCAAATTTTGCCAGAAAACTCAAAATCCCTTTTAACAAACGAGTAATATATAAAAAGTAGAAGTGAAAGGAATAAATATAAAAAAAAAATGCATATCTGGATAGCGTCAGCCTCCGAGAAATAGTGATGAAAACAGAGTTTTCTTGACGGTGGCTCGTATCGTAAGTCGAGTTATGCATATGTTAACCAAGAGAGAGAAGAGAGAAAAAAAGAGAAAAAAAAGAGCGCAATGTTAAAAGTATCAATTGCAATGAGGATGGTATGATATCGGATTTTAAATAGAAGAAAAGTGGAAAAAAAGGGACAATCTTGTCTTTTTGCGACGCTGAGTGTGATGGCTTTCAATCGAAAAGTGCCGATGGCGGTCCTACCCACTTTTCCGGTTATATATCGTGGGTGGACTATGATGGGAGAGAGTGGTTATGATATTATCGTGTCAACCCCTACGCCTGAAACGAGAGAAACACCCCCCAAAGAATACCCCTGCTAGTCATGCCACCGCGACACCCACCCCGCCTCCGTCGGGCTCCACCTCCGGCGCGGCGACGGCCTCCACTGCGACTTCCTCGTCTTCCTCAGCGCTCGCCGCCGCCTGCTGGGCGGTGGCGGCCAGGACGGCCTCGACAGCCTCGTCCAGTAGGCCCCCCTCGATCCCGTCCAAAACCTCCTTCTTGATGCCCTTCTCCAGCAGGACGGCCTTTGAGAGCCTGCGGCAGGCGAGCAGCAACTTGATCACCTCCCTATCACCCCCGAGGAGCGCCACCTCCAGGGGCCTGCGGCCATCGGAATCCCCACGGTTGACCAGCACCCGCTCGTCGGCGAGGAGCACCTCCACCACCGGCGCATTCTTGCTGTCGACGGCGACGTAGAACGGGGACTGGCCGCGGTTGTCGCGCGCGTTGACCTCGATCCTGGGGTCGGCGAGGAGGATGCCGATCATACCGGCCGGTCCGTACTGCGCGGCGACGTGCATGATGTTCTTGCCGTCGTTGTCGCGAACGTACACGTCGAAGCGTGGGTCGGCCAGACAATCCCTCACGACTTCCTGCAGACCGGAACGTCGGACCATGACGAAGAGCGAGGAGTCCCCGCCCGTACCGCCGATGTTGACGTCCACACGACTATCCCCCAGCAGGTCGCGCACGATCTCCACGCAGCCGCGGGACGCGGCGCGTCCGAGGGCGGTCCAGCCCCTGCCGTCCTGGGCGTTGACATCCAAGCGACCGACGGAGAGGAGCAACTTCACCACGTCCACACGGCCACGGTGCGAGGCCCGTACCAGCGCCGTGGCGCCGCTGGCATCGCGCGCGTTCGCATCAATCCTGGGATCCTGCAGCAGCACGCGCACCACCGCCTCCAACCCCTTGAAGGCGGCGAGCAGCAGGGGCGTCATGCGCTGCTGGTTCCGCGTGTTGACTTCGACACCGGGCTGCGCAAGCATGAGCCTCACGATCTCGACGCGACCGTAGGAAGCGGCCATGTACAGGGGTCCGAAGCAGCCCGTCTCCGCCAATTCCGTCCCGGCCCCGCGCCTCAGGAGCAATTCCACCATCCCCTGCAGCCCCCCCACCGCCGCCGTCGTGAGCGGCGACCGCTCGCTCGCGTTGCTGAAACTGTTGGCCTCCTCCTCGCCCAGATTGTCCAGCAGGAACTCCACCGTCCCCGCCGTCTCCCTCACCACGGCCGTGTTGAGCAATTGCCGTCGCGGCACGAAGCCGAGTATGCCCCGCGCCATCAACGCGCCGATCCCCTCGCCATCGCCGGCCCGGGCGCGCGTGTAGAGCAGGCGCTTGCCGTAGTGCTCGGAGCGCAGCGTGAACACCTTGTTCAGCAGACTTGGCTGCAGGAGGTTGGCGAAGTACCGGTTCGTCCGCACGAGCGAGTTCAGGTCCCGGGGTGGGAGGAGGCCGCCGATCAGGAATGTGAGCTCGTTCGGGAGGTGGAGGATCGACGACATTGTAACTCGTACTCGTACCGTACACACAACAAATATCGTGATTGGCGGTGAGTTGGAAGAACCGTTTAGCGGCTGAGAAGTTTTTTTTATGATGTACCGTAATTTATTTTGTTTTATCTTATCCTGTACTTGTACTGTACTCGAGTACTCGAGTACCGGTACCGTAGACTGCCGTTATTGTTATTGTAGTTTAGTGCGATGCTAGGATGCGTGCAGTGCCGTATGATGATAGTAAGCAAGAGATGATTGAGAAACACCCACCACCTCCCTCCCCCACACATACACCCCCCCCCCTTCTCCTTCCCCCCCCCCCTGCGCCAAGTCTAGGCTACAACTACCGGTATCATACTGGAGTACAGTACCAAGCGCTGACTCAGCAGTGCCAAACTCGGAAAAGGAAGTAATATCACGGTATGTTAATTGTGCTACCGTAAAATCTCTGTCGCGAGTTAGTCCAGGATAGGTTTAGCTTGACAAGTCTTCGCGTGAGTGCCGTACTCGAGTACCAGATGTGAGAGAGAAAATGGTGAGATTCAACCCCGTCCTGAAAGGGCTGATTGACTGTATTTTACCGGGATGGGGTAGCGCTAATTTGACTTTTAATCTCTTCGTCTGTCTGATGGCGAATAGAGATTCTCGCATTGTGATAGTGTACTGGAATGCAGACTACGGTATGAAAGTATTGTGATGCTAGTTTATGTCGCCGTAGTATTGCCTAGCATAACTTATCCCTCTATCAATTATACGATACAATACAATACAATACAACCCCCCCAAAACCAAATTTCAGTCAACATAGAAGGAAAGCCGCTTCCGGGGTAATACCGGTACTTACCATCCCATCCCATCCCATCCCATCCAAGTTGACAATTCGCTTACGCCGATTGCCAGACCAGTGATTTGGAATACTCGTATCCGCTCGTGGACCTGCGCCCAGTCCGGAATGTGAAATGTACGATACACTCGGAAAGAAAGAGAGAAAGAAAGAAAGAAAGAGAAGAGTACTATATCCATCCCGTACTGGACGGACGGATGGACAAGTAATTAACTTAACTCCTATCCACATATCACAATAATTATCTTGTCGTCGTACTCAGCTAGTTAGCTAAAAAGCACACAACGGTGGGGAAGAACGCTAAGGAGCTGGGGCTGTAAGGAGACCTACTGAGCGGGGTATATATCGTAGCTGGATTATGGGATAAAGCGCGAGTTGAGTTGCCCCTCAATTAAGCAGGGTTATAGTCACAGAATATCACTCGGATCGCCACCACCACCATCACTACTCTGGATTATTATCATTATGCCCAGGGCGAGCAGCAGAGCGGGGGAAGGCGTGCCTTCGGAGCTTACACGTGGATACCGATATCTATAGGGGGGGTGGATGTATCATGATCATAGAGCACGGGCACGACACTAATTGTCCGGAGATTGTTTGTCCGTGAAAGGGCTATCGGATAATACAGTGCTACCCGGTGTATAATGTAAATTACATTTCCAACTTGGATTCTCTTGTGCCCGTCCGCCCCATCCGCCGATATATACCCCGCCCCAGGATGCGCCCCACCAGACCCATCCACCGCGCCCCATAAAAACCACAGAATATACAACAAACTGCAAGCGCTGGCCCACTTTTGAATGACTAATGACAAAAGAAGGAAATAAGGGACAAGAAAGAAGAGAAAGGGTATTTCTAAACACCACCCGTCCGAACCAATCACCAAACACAACTTATCATGCCAACGTTAGTATTGGAGAACAGAAAAGGAGGAGCTAGACCGAAACCAACCGACAAAACCATCGCAAATCATTGCAAACGGGAGAAAAAGAGAAAAAAGAAAATGAACAAAACAAAGGAGCAATAAAACTACAAGAAAAAAAAAACAAAGGTATATCACATCGGCAAGCTAGCCATTACCGCTCAGTAGTACCCCACCTCCCCCGCAACCCCTCGACCCACCGCCCATACAACACGTCCGCCAAAACCGCGTTCACACCTTTCTCTTCGACAGTCTCTTCCATGCCAACGCTAGCACTACTCCCGCCCCTTCTTCTGCCTCCTGCGCCGCCGGCCCCGGCTCCGGATACGACGCTACTCCGGCGTTTTCTCCTGGCTAGTGGTGAGCCCGTGGCTGCTGGGCTGCTGGATAATGGCTCTGATATCCTCACTGGGGTTGCTTTTGTGGCAGTGGCGGTAGGGGGTGGCGGAGGCGGTGTAGGAGAAACGAGTGCGTTGAGGGCAGGATTCCGCTGGAGTTGGTCCATCATGGAGCGGAGGAGAAGGATGCTAGCCTCTGGGTTTGTGTCATTTAATGAGGACCATGCCGATGATAGGCGGGCGGTGGCTAGGCGTTCCTGCGGGGTTGCGGAGGTTTTTGTGGTTAATTGTGCAAGGGAGGTGTGGATTATGGTGTTGTAGAGGTTTTGCGCATCTGAGGGGTGGGAGACAATACTCGTTGAAGCGGTGCTGGAAGAAGTGGAAGGGGTGGCAACCGCGGAGGGGGTACGATGGTTATTCTCGAAAACCTTTCTGACGGGGCGTATCGTCGACGAGGATTTTGCTGTGTGTGATTGTGCTTCCGGGGAGGGGGAGCGGGAGGGGCCGCTGTGGAGGACTTGGGACTCTTTGGTTATGTGGCGGTGGTGGTGGTAGAGCTGCTCGGGGCGAGGAGAGTTGGAGCTTGCGTTCGAAGGAGCCCTCCTGCGGGCTGTCCCTGCACGGATCGGTTTCGATGGTGATGATGAAGCCACACGCCCGTCAGGGCCTGGATTTTCACTATGAGGGGCTGAGTTGAGGGCTAAGCTTTGCAGAGCGGCACTTATGGGAATTTCGTCAAAGTCCGAGGAGTGTGAAGAATTGGATACGCTCCGACCTCCTCTTATTGTTTGGGAGGCTTGGTGATGGAGAGTGGAGTGCGGGTTTGTCCTGATGGTATCAAAGTCCCAGTCCTCATCTACCTGGAGTGTCATTGTGTTCCTACCGCACAACTGTCAGTATATGCGCGAGCTTGGCAAGGAATGCTGGGACAAACATTGTAGCCTGGTACAACTTTGGATGCGCCTGTCTGCCGCCCTGGCTTCCTACCCACTTCTGTTTCCGCTGGATCAGGTCCTGCAGCAGCTGTGTCCTCCCAGCATTTCTGATAAACTTGTGCCTCAGCAGCTCCTTCGCGCTAGCCCTCTTTATCGGATCCTTATTCAAGCACTTTCCCACAAAGTCTTTGAAATCCTTGGACCACCTATTCCCCGCCAGCCTCGGCGCCGGCTCCTTTGGGATCAGAAATAGCACCTTCATCGGGTGGATGGCTGCGTTTGGTGGCTCCCCCTGCGCGAGCTCCATGGCAGTGATGCCGAGTGACCATATATCCGCTTTGAAATCGTAACCCGTGGTCTGGGAGATCACCTCCGGCGCCATCCAGAAGGGGGTCCCGACGAATGTGTTGCGCTGGGATTTGAGGTTGCTGAGCTGCGCCGCCACGCCAAAGTCGGCGAGCTTGACCTGGCCGGTGCCGGAGAGAAGGACATTGGCAGCTTTGATGTCGCGGTGTATCTTATTTTCTCGGTGGAGGTAGTCCAGTCCCAGGAGGAGTTCTCGCATCAGGATGGCGATGTGGGTTTCGCTGAAGGGGCCGGGTTTTAGCAGGTCGAGGCAGGAGCCGCCGGCAAGGTATTCCATCACTGCGCGACATCAGTATCAACGATCCCCGCCATGCCGCGTCGAAAGCGCAAATGGCGTACCTATCCACAACTTGTACCCTCTGACAAAACTCCCGTAATACTGGGTGACGAACGGACTAGCGCAAGTGCTCAGCACAGAGATCTCCTGCTGGATCTCTTGAATGTCGTCCTCGCTAGACTCTAGATCAATCTGCGCGAAAAAGCGGCGGAAAACCCCCAATTAGTCCTCGCCGCCCCCCTCTCCGTTCCTCGGAGGGAAAGGGTGAAACAAACATGTTTGATAGCAACCACGGTCCCGGACTCCTTCTCAATCGCCTTGTAAACAACGCCAAAGCTCCCACCTAAAGCGCACGTCAGCCATGTAACCTTGCATTCAGCGAGCGCAGGACGGGTGCACAACTCACTCCCCAATTCCTCCAAAACCTCAAACTTTGACGCCAAACTCGCCGCCATAGCGATCCTTCAATGAAACAAACAAGAAAATAAGTAGATGTATGCAGATATGTATGTATGTATGTGTGGGGCTCTCGGGCCGCCGGATGAAAACACAACACCCTTATCAGAGGATAAAGCGTAATGGTAAGGAACGAAGGGCAGCAAGAAGGGAACAAGAAGGAGAGGAGAAGAAGAAAGCGGCCAAAGAGTAGAAAGCTAGTGAGCGGGGAGGAGATGGGGGGAAGAGAAAGGAATGGAGGAAGAGAAGGAAGGAGAAGAGAGCAAAGGACAGAGGGCTCGCCGCGAGTGAGTGGGTGAGGGAATGTGGGCGGGCGGGCAGATGGTCTTGTTATCAGCTACCGGCAGCTGGAACAACTGGCCGGGAAGCGATCGATGGTGTGTGTATGGTGTGTGTGTGTTGTTGTCACTCGAACGCCGCGGGCGTTCGGGTGGGAAGACGCATCTTGTTTTGGTTCCTGTCTTGGGATTAGCTCGGGCTCGTGTGTTGGTTTGGGCGGTAGGGTTGCTGTGGTAACGGGTGCAAGCCAGGTTGTCGTAGGCGTAAGGCTGGAACTCGTGGTGATCGCTATGATGCGATGTGTGATGGATGGATGATACCATAGATAAGCGTAAACACTGGGGTTGACCGAAACATTGTTTAATTTAAATAGAGCCAATTTCGACGTCCTCTTGACAAGCCTTCTCTCCCCTTGTATCATACAAGGACTGTATCGGCGCGCGGGTACGGACACATATTTTGCCGTATATTTTGCCAATCCCTGTCTTTAGGCGCCGGTACTTGTTGCTCGGGGTAGGTAGGCCCTTACTCGTACCTGTTGCTGGGGGTCCATTAGGGATCGGAGAGAAAGTCCTCGCGGTGAGATCACATGAGGAATTGGGAATCAAGGGTATTTTGAAGCCAACAGCAACTGGTCCGGGGTTTGACTTCTGCAACATTGCCTTGCTTACCATACAGCTCCGAGTAGAGCACAGGCAACTGCCGGTATGAAGTGATCCACTTCACTGCAATATATCCAGTGCGCTGTACAATACCGTACCGCCTGGTCTGGGACGCTGCACCGCTTGAGATGAGGTATTTAAAGTCTCGACGAGAAGAGTTCCGGCGCCCAGACATCAAACTCGGATCCGGTGCTGTATTATACTTTACTAGTACGTGTATAGACACATTTTTATTTCCTACAAGACCCAGAAGGGGCATCGAAAAAACTCAACAACTGATTTAAATACTCACTTTTGCACTCACCGACTTAAAACTAGGAAGAAGGAAGGGAAAATCCAACAATCACGGTGCACCCAAGGAACAATGAAAAGTGAAACTTAAAATACAAAGAAGATATCGTGGTGAGGAGTCACGATTGTGGGACGGAGCGATGGGTTGGTCGGGTGATCATCGTGTGGGCAGGGAAAGACCGAGAGAGAGAATGGAGGTCAAGTATGGTGTACTGTACTAGCGGAGCGCATACAGCAGTTCATCCCATCCCCTCCCATCCCATCGTGCTGTGTCAAGAGATCACCACAGCAAGGGCGCGGTGACTTCATAGAGAAAACGCAAACGCAACCTTGAACCCAAAGTCTACCACTCCGGCGACTCGCCGGATCCGCCAAAGGAAAAACAATGCCGTGAAAAGAAAAACCCGAAAGAAAAAAAAGAAAACCTCCCTAAACCCAACCTGTCCCATTCTCACTGCCGTAACTTGATGTATGATCCGAACTCCCGCTTAGCAAGGTTGAAAGAGAGGAAAAAAAAAAAAGAAGAGAGAGAGGAAAGAAATAAACAACGTTTTCGTTTGGTTTTTGTATCGTGAAGGAGAACAAAGAAAACGGGGGGAGAAGAGAGAAGAAAACAGGGAAAAAAAAAGAAAAAAAAAACCATAGAAAGTGTCCCATTTTGCGAATCGATTGATTGAATATCTGTATGATAGCGGTTCCGCGGGCAAAAGTGCTTTGCGTTGGACAAGGTACCAGATGTCTTAGAGCAGCCCGTCGCGGCGATGTCCCCCCCCACCTCTACCACCCCTACCACCACCACCGCCACCACCGCCCATGCCCCTCCCACGCCCCCTCCCTCTCATCCCACTAGTACTGCCTCTCGGCGAGAAAGTGTACACTCCACTGCCGCCCCCACCGTTCCTCCCCGCCGCTGCGGCTGCTTCTGCGCGGCTGACCACTTCAGCGAATGATCCAGCGGCGCCCCTATTCCCGTAGGCATTCCCGATCGTCGGGGCACCCTGCTGGGAGCCGCTCCCGACCGGCGGCCCGGAAGCTGCGCGCCCTCCTCCCCCAAAATCTACCTTCTCCGCCCTCAACTCGTAAAAATTCCCTTTAGCCTTGAAAGTCTTCGACCCGGCCCACAACGGTTGCGGCTTCTTGCCATGTCCAGCCCGGACCGGCGTTGTATCAAGTAATTGCGCAGTCCACTCTTGCCCATCATCCGCCACGCGTCCACCATACCCATCCGGTTCCTCATCATCTTTGTCGTCGCCTCGAATTTCAAAGTACTTTAGCTGCCGCGGGAGTTGTGTCCCTGGTGGCGGGGGTGCGGTATCAACGGAAGTGGAGGAGCGAAACCCGTCGGGGAGGACGAAGATGGGCGGGGATTCGGATGGGTCCTTCTCGTTCGGAGAGCAACGGTTCGCGACAATTGCGTCGATCCATCGCACCACTCGGAAGTACTTGGCGGCATCACGGGAGGTGTCCCAATCTAGGGGCGGGTCGCTGTTTTTGTTGTAATGCCAACCTCCGATTTGAAGGTCCATTTTGTATTTTGTATTTTTTTTTTTTCTGTTGGTTGATGGGGGAGGGGGGGGGGGTAGGGTTTAGGTGTGTGGAGAAAGGAGGGATTACCACGGGGAAAGCCCGAAGAGAGAGGGGAAGAGGGAGGAAGAAGGGGGGGGGGCGAGCGGAGGAGGAGATGGTGATGGCGATGTAGAGGGGGGAGAAGCGACGGTTGCGAGGAGGGGAGAGAAAGGACGAGAGGTGAGGTGAAGGTGGAAATGTGGACGAGATTGATTGATGGTGGTGGTGACGACGATAAGAAAGTATCCCCCTGGGTTGAGCCGGGCTCCTGATCTATGATACGCTAGCTTTCTATTTCCCCGGCTAAGGGTTCGGGGCGATTTCTAGTGCTTCACCACACTCTCCCTTTTTTCCCTTATTCAAGTACAGTATATAACGTTTTTCGCCTCCAGCGCCCATGCACAAAGAAAGAGGGAAAAAGGTATGGTGAGCACGGACTAAAGTTTTGTCTATCGCGGTGGAGTCACCTCGGAAACAATTCTCTGGTGAGGCCAGGCCATCGTGCTTCATGATGCCAGCTAACACCTGGCCCAATAAATGAGTTATTAGCCAGCCCTCCAATCCAAATCACCCCAGTGGCTTAAGATAACACCTTCCCTAACCCTCCCTCCTCCACCTTCCCTAACCCAAGCAACCTCAATCTCCCCACCGTACTGTACGAGTACTCGTACCTTGGAGCGCTCCAGAGCATGGCAGAGAGCGCTCTGACAATCCGCCTTAAGTTAACCTATTACCACATCATAACTTCCCGCCTCCTCCCCCCCCAAACCAGAAAAATGGGTCGAGGGTCGAAGGCCGAACAAGCGAAATCTGGATCAAACTCCGCTTGCGCAGCCCTTCTTACTCGTAGTTGGATCATATGATATCATAGCGTTTGTCTTTGCCAAGGCGGGATGGATGGATGGGGTACCTTGCCGGCAGATCTTTGGGCGTTGCGGGACCCGTTCTGGAAACGGGATGGGTGTCTGGCACGTCCCCCCCCTCCACACGCGCAACCACGCGATTAATTATCGCACGAGAAGGTTGGGGGAATGAGCGGGAGGCCTAAGTCGTTTATAATGTGATTGTTTATGTGGTGGGCAGTTTGCGGGGTCGCTTATTGGCGGAATTGGAATGGCACTGTACGAGTACTTGTACCGGCGCGAGTAGTGTGCTGTAGGTAAATTGGGTACTGTACAAAAATACCGGTTGGCTGGTTTGTGGTTACTTTGTCGTGGAGGAGGGGAGTGATTTATCGATGGGTTCTGTTGAGTGGGGGTGGTTGGCCTAACTACGTGTACGGTGTGTGAGCTATCAGACAGCTATATGGTACTGTACTCGAGTACTCGTACTTGCACTTGTGATAGGTACGGTGTTAAAAGGTGCCTATCGAGGCTTCTTGTGTTCCTATATTTCATAATGGATTCGCCCCCTTGGGCTGTTCACTGGGGAGGGCAGGACACGGTGGTAATGACCGGCTTCTAGACTCGCCGCCGACATTCTACAATACTCGCACGGATTGGTATTAGAGTATAGTGCACGGCAGGAGGAGGAGGTGCAATGAGCTGCTATTGCGAACCACTGCCCTGTGGTGTAACTTGAGCATCCTAGAGTACTGTACCAGCAATATGGATGGATCCCAAAAGACGCCGGGGTGGATGAACAAACCTAGGCAGCACAATTATCGCTAAAAATTTAGAAAAAAGGAACTCTCAGGCCTCCAGGCCTCACCGTCATGCCTTGGGGCAGCTGAAACCCGCCTCTCACGATTCTTTTGTTCCTTTCTACTCCTGATCACGGATCGCGCATGGGTTATCCTCAATATAACACTCGAAATATTAATTACTGCTGCTACAGATCATGATCTCCGTCGCAAAGGACACCAGTCTGCGATTGACCACCACTAGAAGAGTTGTGGGATGGGGAAGTTACTGGCGAGCATGCGCAACTTCGGATAGTATCATATAGGACTTTCGCGTACTGGTTGATAGGGGATGTATAGTGCAACGATGGTGCTAAGTTCGGACCATACATAAGATCTAGACTGTTAAACTTTTGGTAGGATCTGCAATATATAATTTTTCCTCTTGCTAATCTGTCCTAGCCGAGGCCTTTAGGTTAAATTTTTTCTTTTTTTTTTCTCTTTCAGAATATTTCCCCTTGTTTACTGGGAGGAGAAGGCTGGAGTCCTTAGCGTGAAGGTTAATTATCCCAGTCCCGACCCGAGTACCGTAATGGTATAATACTCGTAGTGAATTCGGATTGCACTCCTTCCTTGGCACCGGTATCATACCTAGATGGTCCAGGGGTTTGATTTTAGGGTGCCAGTCTCAACTTACTCCTCCAGGCATAGAACATCGTGTTGTCATGATGGTCGTGGCACTTGGAGCGCCTTCAACAACCGTAATTTTCAGCAGTCTTCTCAACCTATCATTTCCTTGTTATACACGCCCCATTCATTCATCCGGTTGACGCATCGTCCCGGCGATGAGCCATCAGCAAGCTTGGGTCGTGAGAATCGGTGTCATCTCTGACTCCAAGGGTTTCGTGGAGGGGGGTTTTTTTTCTTCTTCCGCCTTCTTTCATGCTATTTTCCATTCTACTGTACAGTACTCGATCCCCCCGGGGGGTGTTTTCTTGGCTTCCGGGCGGACTAACTTAGCTGGCTGATGTACGGTAATTAAAGAAGCAAACAAATCATAGTTATCCCCCAATATTCAGAGAACCCCCCATATCCCCTCTGAGTATTCGAAAGAGGGTGAAAATTTTGGGTTCGAGCTTTAGCCTCCGTATATTTACTCCCCCGACTGTAATAAGTGGCGGGACAGTTTGGTGCAGTGGCGTGACCGTCAAGCTATCCAGGAACAGCCGGTTTCGACCACTGGCCAGACTAGCTGTGTTCAAGGGCCTTCAAAATTCTTGTATGATAAGCGTATACCCCCCGTACTCGCGATTCCCCCAGATATGATACTTACCACTATTTGCCACCGCCTTTGAGCAGCAGACGAGTGAGATCTGATGATGGCTGGGGTATATCATATCCTTCAAGGAAATGTCTCTGGCGAGTAATATTCCCCAACGCTGGGTGAAGAGTCGGATGGGTGTTTTCGGATCCTGACGTGAGCCATACCGGACACACACACACACACACACACACCGAGTTTAGTTGCCGTGAAGTCTCTCGTCATGATAGCTCAATCGGAAATGTGGGATCGGATCGTCGGTTAAGTTTTTTTTTTCCTCTTTTTTTCTTAATTTTCTCTCAGGGTGAGTAAAGACAGGGTCGCTTGATGGGGCTGGGTGGAAATGGGGAAGGTGTCCTGGCCGGGAATGTCATATGTTTGAGTACGAGCTCGTGTGGGACGACAGCCCGGCGAAGGAGAGGAAACTTGAACATTGGATTGGGCCGTTATTGAGAGGCGATTCTTACCGGATTGTAGAATCTTTTTAGATATGGAGGAGGGGATGTATGTACGCGCCCTTAGATCGGTCGGAGGTTGCTGCTAGGACTAATCTCGGTAACGGATGGCTATCACGCGTGTCGGGGTTCACGGATACGACTGAAGGGGATATATGGTAGTAATCATTTGTATATTATCCATCTAGCAACATATCCGTAGGTTACCCGTGGGCCGGTCTGGCGCCTTGGGAGCTCTGATGTTAGCAAGAGCTGCGGTACTCTTGAAGCCCTGATCCTTTTTGGGAGGTGGTGAGGGTGGAATCTAACGGAGAAGGACATGACTTACCCCCCCCTCTCAGAAGTTGACCAAGTTACTTTCTGGAAAGGGTCCATCCTTAACTGACCACCTGTGCCATACCTCCTCATATTTGGTGCGAATGGTCAATTGTGTCTGTATTCAAATGGTCAGGAGGTAGTAATGGGAATAAGGGTTACTGAGCATGAAGCTACAGTACCATTATGACAATTCCGGGTATGGCGCGGGTGGGGTTCTTCGTTCGCCTTCTGCATCCTTACTAGAGACCATGCTGGGAACATGATTGTCTAGCCACCTTAATAGCTCCCTGTCCGTCTGGCACCTTCGCATGTCCTTAACCACGGTGGCAAACGACTTAGTCCTCTTCCGCCCCCCTCGACTTCTTTGTCCGTCCGTCCATGGGCCAAGCTCCAGCCCTACCGCCCCGGCAGCTGCAGCGCGAACGGCGAGAGGGTATTCTTCATTATTACTCACTTTCGCAGGTCCGAAAGTAGCAGAGGATGGATCTATAGGACCCTTCGGATTGAAAGAGATCTCGTCACCGTCTGCGGGGTTCTAATGGCTGTCTCGAAAAGCTGCGTAAGCGAGTTACTGGGAAAGGTGCGCTTGGATCCCCTTGGCAGTGGTGCGAAGGAGGACTTTTCCGACAGGATTGAATGGAAAATTTTGGTGAAGGTCTCCCTTTCTCTATCCGTCACCGTACTCGTTGTTTGCAGTTGCTCTCGCGCATAGGTTGGAACAATGTAATGCGTGCTGGGTCGAGGCGCGGGGGGAGTCCAGGATATGAATGCCCATGGGCCATCATCTCCCGACCCACGATCATCAGCGAAGGGTAGATCTCTATCCACATCCTCGGGGTTTGGTCTCCCATACCTAGTGGCGGATCTCGAAGGGTAGGGGAGTGATGAAGGTGGAAGGGGCGCCCCAGTAGGGTGAAAGGAGGAATTGACAGCCAATGGTGACCTGGCTGTCAAAACTGAGAGAGCAAAGGCTTTGAATAGGCCCATAGTTATCCAAGGGAGAGGTACGGGGGGAAAATTGAAGGAGTTTCTGACGGTGATGGTTTCTTTCTTGGTTCTCCCTTTCTTCACCCTCTCTAATGTAGGATATGGTGGGCTGCTCGACATTTATCCCTTCGTTTGATGCCGAATTTCAGCGCTTTTTAGCGTTGCGTTAGCACTAGGATCAGCAAATCCTAGAGGGTAAGCAGTAAGTAGAGATGGGTATCATCTAGGAAGCAAAGGGGATCCCTTACATTGTTGCCGAACTTCAAGGCAGCGTAGTGTTGGTGGGTCTTGGCCGACAAGGGTAGCTGTTTCTCCGGACGGAGGAGTGTCCTGGGGAGTAGACTACGCAGACGATCTCGTTTTTGTCATGGCCATGCTAATTGGTGCTTTAAGGGGGTGCTGGGCTCAGGATGCACAAACCGAGTACCACTCAGCATGGTCATGATCGAAGTAGACTACTACTACCATCCTCTGTGCACATTTAGACTACCGTAATCATGATTCCAGTAGTAGCGTTGTTGGCACTAAGTCACGGAAAGTTGTGCTAGGGCACAACGCCCCAGATCGATGCGCCCGGCGCAGCACTAAGTTATGTAGTGCCCAGGCAATACACATACAAATAAAATGATTCTGTTAAAGAAAAAAAACGAGAAACTATCTACAAACCCAATTCACACTGAATATCACCCGTTTCCCATCCCTGTGGGTCCCTGCCCCGCTGAAGTATCCGAATACCGTAAGAACTCGAATAATTGAACCTGGAGCTAGGACGTCGGTGTTGCCTCTACTGGTATGGTGCGGTGTTTTTTACTTTTCTTTTATCTCAAGCAGGGGCTCGGGGAGTCGGTTTTCGCAGTGCTCTCAGCCCCCTATCCAGGAGAGGGAATTCTGAACGTTCTAGTGCGAGGTTCAATTATTCGAGTTCTTACGGTAACGTATTCACCATTTTTTTTTGACAATTGTATTATGCCGCTAGCAGGTTGTGCCATCAGCTAATCTCACTACACTCTGGCGAAAGGGCCGTGCCGGGCACATTGGCACGGCACAAGGCACTTCTAGTGCCAACAATGCTACCCCGTAGGCTAGTACTCGGCACTCTGGACAGGGCTGAAAGCCCACACTAATTTACAGCGTAGCTGTTTGTAACTGCCTTGGGCAAGCGTTGGAATAGCCCCTGCGGTGATCACGAGGTAAGGGATCGTGCTTAACTGAGTTTTAACCGGCCATGGTTTGGTGAGTGTGGTCATGGAAACAGCCAACCACGGTGTTTTTTTCTGGGGGGTTGAGGCGAACCAAAAATGTACCGTACCAACCACAAAGCTTTATGCTCTCTCATTGGCCGGGTGGCCCGGGAACCGATGAGAGCAGTTCCGCCTTAATTATCCTTGACACCTGGTGCCGCACAAGTACCCATGAACCGAACTTGTGGTAATTAGAGTTAAAGGATGATTTTTGAGTAACAAGTAAAATGTGGGAAGTTGTACCGTATAGGTTACTTTTCGGTATTTCACAAATAGCATTCTCATGTTTTAGTTATCATATTTGAATGTTACAAGGAAAAAGAGGGAAAAATACTATAGAGGTTATGGTAGATCTTATGGGGATTCTGAAAACCTTGCATTTGTTTTCAAATTTTTCTTTTTATATTTTATATCATTTTGGAGATGTGGTAGTAGAGCTGGGTTAAACTGGGTTTGGCACTAGCTATACACTTCCAGACTTTTGTATCTATCAGAAAAAAAGGTATGGTAATGTAAACTTAAGTAGCAGTAAACAATCTTTTTGTATATGCCAAGTTTGTATGAAATAGTTGTTTGAGTTAAGATAGTATTTCTATGTACTCTCTTGCTATACTGTACTGTATAGTACTCCCTCTAGATATAACCTTACTGTAGAAATAGATAGGACAGCACCAAATCGAATAACTCAGAGCAACAATGTGCTCCAGGCTATTCAGGTTTGTGCATTATATGGTATCTATATAAAGAATACTTGTTATAGGTGAAAAGTAGATATTATATTAGTAAAATTTGGAGAAGAGGAAAGAGGTTATAGGAAACAGACAATTAAACTGTTCATGTAAGATGAGAATACCATCTTTTACAAGTTCTTCTGAGTTGTTGAATTTAAGTTGTTGTAGGTATTCTAAAATAGTATATCAGTAGTGTAAATAGTATATAGTAGTTAGAGCATGGGTATAGTACTAGTATGTATTTTATCTATTTTTAATCTTGATAGATGGTGGTAGAAAGAGTTCTTTGTAGTATGATATACTAGAATAGTAAGCCTGAGGGTAACTTGAAAGGAGCTTATTAAGAAGAAAGTACAAACCAGTACAAGAGGGTGTTCTAATATACCATCTATTTATATTACTAGCCTGACCAACTTGAAATCTGCTGGTAACAGACCAACTCTCAGTTTTTGACAGGAGAGAAGTATGGATAAGGCTTGTAATAGTAAGAGGAGAAGGAGGATGAGGATAAAAAAAGGGAGAAGAAGGAGGAGGAGGAGGAGAAGGGTAACTTTGAAGGTGGGTGAGGAGGACGAGGATGAAGGCCACACAGAAAGGAGGAGGAAAAGAAGTATGAGAAGAAGGAAAGAACTTGAAATAGAGAGGGGTGTTCACTATTTATACACCTGCCTTCATGTGGCGGCTAAAATTTCTTTGTGCTGGAGCTTTAGACTGCGAACGGGTTCACCAGAATTAACCCTCAGTTGGTGCCACACTTTTGTTGGTGTATTAGCGCCACCACCACCACAAACTTACTGTATGGTGTAGATTCACAAGCTATATGTAACCGGTGGGGTGGAGAATTTGTTGAAACTGAGAACAGGGTGCTAGTGTCTCATTAGAGGGCATCTATAACAGATGCTTTAAAGGCATGAACTCACTTCAATGTTTCTAGGAGCATCTACCTCTATATGTAGACAGCTTGGCCTCCGGGAATCCCCTCTGGCGAGCCTCTACGGCTGGATTGTAGTCAAGGAGTCTTCTGGCCGAGTGATCTGAGGTGACGATATGCGCTCAACCCGGGAGTGGTGGGTTCATTATCGCTTGGGGAAGAAAGAATAACCACCGGAATCTCCTGCAAAGCTTGCTTGAAATATTCTAGTGGATTATACCTCTCCTTAACATAAGGGAGTTGCAGGTCTTGTTGACCAATTAGGTTGATCGAGGGATAAAGGGATTTAACTGTTTGGTTTACCCGAGGACATGCGATACCGGTAGACAAACCCAAATTCTTCCTATACTAAACCAATCTGGGACGCCTTGTGAGATTTAGTTTTACGATCTCATAATACGGATGTCTCTGGAGCAGCCCTCAGAACCGCATCAGCGTAAGGGGCTTCGGCCTCTTGTCCGGACAGCGTTTCCAGTGTTTGTCGCGAACACATCCTGCTGGGGGCTGTCATCGAACTAGCGACTCGAATTGCGAGGACCCAGTTTCCCACGAGCCCCGCTTCATTGGAAGTTTCGTTCGAGTTTGGCTTGAGTTTCCCAGGCCTTACCGGGTCGATGCTAGAAAGGCGGGTGATGGCCACGCTAGGAGGTAGAGGTTAGCGGCCATCACCGATAGGAGGTATATAGCTACTATGCTGCAGGTTGGTCTGGTCTATAAATTATCCAAGCTGATCCAGCTAGGATCTAAGGTTCAGCTCGTCTCGAACCGGCCAGTACCAAGTACTGCAATTCATCTGCCGTGATTGGTCCACCGCCCCAACTTAAGCTAGTGAGTAACTAGGGCTGGTGGAGCATGGCAGTTTAGGCAGAGTTTCATATTAATGGTGAGCTCCGGTCCTCGATGGGTTCCTAGTGTTGCTTTCCCACTATAATTACCTTTTCCTTCTGCCTTATCTCCCCTTTCTCGGGTTTTTTCTCTCACCCCATCCTCCTGGGGCGAAATTTCTCACCCAACTGTCTAGACTGGGTGGTGAAAAACTGGAGGAGAGAAGGAGGGAATGAGGGCCGCCATTCGACCAAGCTCCGCACTCATGTATTCTAAAAAGAAAGGACGACTGTGCCTATCCCCGAGTTAAACCTCACGAAATTGAGTCTCCTGATTAAAGGATTAGTTTTAGGCTGAGAAGTCTCTGCTATCCGTTGGACGCTTTGGTGAACTCACTAGGCTCCCTGAGGTCCCTACGTGTCGTCTCTAGCTACACCTACCCTTTTCCCTCTAGAATTTCTCTGGTCCTTGTCGTTCTCGTTTACTCCTATGGCTTTCCTTGATCGAAGAGTTTTTCCTACTCGCCTTTGTTTCCTTTCCAGACTTCCATGATTTGTGCGTATATATGGGCAAAGGCCCTCACTGAAAAACATCGGAGTTCTGGATTTTCATCTCACGCTGGGCCCCTTTCCACAGAACTGCAAATGATAATATGTGAATTTTTTGGGTCCCTGGGGGGAGGGTAAAGTCGCAGCGGAGCCTAACGGTGAAACTGGGTGAAAGGACGGATCTCTAAAGTGGATAAACGCTAGGTCCGACATTTTAGACGAGTGATATATAATGATCAGGATGCTGTCATGATCTTGAAGAAACACCATTTTAGGGAGTCTTCGTGGCTTATTTCCCGGGGAATGATATAGGGTTTTTCACCAACGGCCGATCCCCGCCCTGTACTAAGCTGTATAACGCAAATTTTTGGGGGCTGCCGGAGGAAGCCAGAGCGTTAGGGAGGATTGAGGAGTTTTGGGAGTATCATGGGTCGTTCCGGAGCAGCAGTGGTTTACGCACCGTCACGATCCCGGGTGTCCTGCCTGTCCGTCATTGAGGCCTTGGTACGACGGATGGGCCCCTATACACTCTGCACGGAGAGCTGAAGGACCGCAGGCGCCTATCATACGGTCACCCTTTTAGGCCCTAGTCTTTCTGGGGAAAGGACGCCCTGACCGCACAGGATGGGACACCTTGCCTGAGACCCTTGGGGCTATTCCTGTAGGTGACTGCCGGGCTCACGGGACGCTTGGGGTCACTGGTCTCGCTCGGTCAGGAGACTTT